AAGCCTGGCATCAGATTAGACCTTTTTGAACACTGTATTTTACTTTTTTTTTTTTAAACAGAGCCTCACTATGTATCTTAGACTGGCCTCAAAATGATGATCCTTCTGCCTCAGCATCCCAAGTGCAGGGATTAGAGGTATGTACCACCATACTTGGCTTAGACATTTGAGGGTAGGGAGTTGTTTGTTTTGGATTTTTACTTGTTTGTTTTTGAGACAGGATCTTCTTGTAGCCCCAATTGACTTGGAATTTGCTATGTAAACCAGGCTGGCCTCAATCTCAAGATTCGCCTGCCTCAGCATCCCAAGTGCTGGGATTAAAGGCGTGTGGCACTACAGCCTGATAGACATTTGTTTAAAGTAGGGGATGTCTTATACTGCAGAAAGTTCTGGAAGCACTGCTGTTGTGAAACTCTGGTGTCTGGGCCCAATGTGGCTGTTGCATTCTTAAAATCCAAGCAACAGATTAGGTCCACATAACATTCTTCATGGAAGCACCAGGCTCATGTGGTCTTGCCCCTCACTGAGAATATATAAGCAGCTAACGATCGCTCTGGGAAAGCCATTTCTTCAGCAGCACATCCGCCCCTAAGTTGTCATGCATGAGAGATGAGGTTCTATGTTCAGTTCTGAAAAAAAATTTTTTTAATTTATGGTGTTCTGCCCTCCTTCCATCTTTTTGTACATGTATATGTGTGTATGTGTATTCACATGTGTGTGGACTCCCACATGTGGACGATGTATGTGCACGTATGAGAGCATTCAAGTAGAGGCCAGAGGCTGACACCAGGTATCTCCTCCCATTGTGTTCCACGTTATTGACTAAGGCAGGGCCTCTCACTGAACGAAGTTTGCAGATTCAGCTACTCTAAGCAATTACCTTGCGATGGGCATCCCCTGTCTTTCCCATGTGTTACAGGCAGGTCACCATGCCTGCTCACCATTTACATAGGTGCTGGGAATCCGAACTCTGGTCCTCACGCTCTCATAGCAGGTAATTTATCTGCTGAGCCATTTCTCCAGCCCCTGCCTTCCCTTTTATATATGAAATAATCAAACTCTGGTGTCTTTTCAACTCACAACCGATCAACTAACAAATTTTCCTCAGCAACACGTACCTCTGTTGAGGTTCCATGAAAGTTATACACAGATTGGCGTACTTAAAATGCTTCTTAATACTTAAGTTTTCCAGTGACAGAGTCAAATATGGGTTCTTAGATCTACCTTAAGATCCATTAAAATTAACAATTAAAACTTTGGCTCCTTTGGTAGCAGCCGCCTGCCAGCACCCAGCAGTCAGGCGAGGCTGGAGGCTGCTTTATTGGAGCCTGATGTGAGAGTTTGTGCTAAGTGGTGCACACATTTACCAAATCTCATGTCATCACATAGCCAAAATCTACATGTACATTTCAGAGACTGGAAAGACGGCTTGGTAGTTAAGAGCACGCACTACTCTTTCAAATTTTTTTTTCTTTTTAAAAAAAATATTTTTAGCCAGGCATGGTGGCGCACACCTTCAATCCCAGCACTCAGGAGGCAGAGGCAGGCAGATCTCTGTGAGTTCAAGGCCAGCCTGGTCTACAAAGAGAGTTTCAGGCTAGCTGGGGCTACAGGGAGACCCTGTCTCAAAAAGACAAAAAAAAAAATTTTTATTGAGTTTTTGTGCATTTCATACAATAGTTCTTAACCAAATTCCCACCCCCTCCCCTGCCCTTGCCCCCTCATATCACACCCCCCCAGGACCTCATGCATGCCACCACACATGTTAAGTCCTATCTGGTCAAGCATTTGTACCCAGATGTCCCTTGGTGCAAGTTCATCCACTGGAGTCTACTCAGCCTATCTAGAGAGCTTAATGAAGATCTACTCTGCCTCACCCAGCAGTAATCAGTTGCCAACAGTTCCCAGGCTAGGGCTGTGACTCACTGCCCATTTCCCTCACTCCACACTGGGCCCTTTTCTGATGGAGTCAACATGGGTCCTGTGCACAACGCCACCATTGCCACAAGTTCCCATGTGCAAGTCTCTAGTAGCCTGAAAGCCTTCGTTTTTTTATGTTCATGGACCAACTCTGGTTCTTACAATCTTTTTCTCCTCTGCTTCCACAATGGTACCTGAGGCCTGAGTGGGTGAGATGTAATATAGGCGTCCTATCCAGGGACAGTCACTCTGAAATCTCTTATTCTCTAAAACTTGGCCAGTTGTGGCCTTCTGTGTGCATCGCACTCTGATGTATAAGGAAGCTTCGCTGGTGAGAGCTGGGGGCTGCACTAGTTTTCTCTCCACCCCGTTCCAATATTATTCATTTATCTTTTTATGTGTATGAGTGTTTTGTCTGCATGTATGTAAGTGCACCCATGCCACACAATGCCACTGAAAGCCAGAAGAGGGCATCAGATCCCCTGTAACTGGAGTTACAGATGATTGTTAGCCACCATGTGGGTGCTGGGAATCAAACGCAGGTCCTCTGCAAAAGCAGACAGTGCTCTTAACCACTGAGCCATCTCTCCAGACCCCGGGGAATGTAATGCTCTTACAGACAGATGACTGGTTCAGTTCCCAGCACCCACATTGGGCAGCTCACAATCACCTGTAACTGCAGCTCCAGGGAATCTGACACCCTCTTCTGGCCTCTGTGACCACTTTGCGCATGTGCACGTACCATACACAGACACACACACACAAATACACAATTAAAAATAAAAATAAACAACTCTTACTGCTGTTGGGAATGTAAACTGGTACAGTCACCATGGAGATCAGTATGGAAGTTCCTCAAAAAACTAAAAATAGATTTACTCTATGGCATGCATTGTGGAGTATTTCAAGTGATACATACCAATGTCTGCTACCTATTTTGAAATGCATCCAAACAGAAGATTGATGAGTGGTGAGATGAAGAGATTGTGATAAAGCAGAGGCAGCAGAAGTCGATTCCCAAATCCAGTGGTGGATACAATGGACATTCACCATCTGGTTCTTCTAAACTTGCATGTTTGACATTTTTAATAAGGTTTGAGTGGAAGGAACCACATCTTAATGAACTCCACCTGCATACCATCCCATCCATAAATGTCAAAACCCTAACACTGAATGAGAGTGCTGAATCAAAAGGGAGCTTGTGTTTGCTTCTAGTTCATAACCAGAGACTGGGGGTGAGGCTCCATGGTATAGCACCTGCCTAGAACCCCTCAGTAGGGGCTGGGGTTTGGCTCAGTGGTAGAGCACCTGCCTAGAATCCCCCAGTGAGGGGCTGGGGTGTGGCTCAGTGGTAGAGCACCTGCCTAGAATCCCCCAGTGAGGGGCTGGGGTGTGGCTCAGGGATAACTGTCCTACTTACCATGTACAAGGCCCTAGTTTAATCTCCAGCACCACAAAAATAAAAAGTAAAAAAGCTCATGAGTAGGCAGATCCAGTCTTTGCTGGTGACTGGAAAAGGACACAGGGGATTCCTGGAGACATAAGATGTTTTGTGTTTTAGTGGAACACATGTGGGTGTGAGCTGCATGGTGTTCAGACTGTGAGCAGTTGTCACCCTGACATGTGTGCTTGGCCCTGCACACATCTCTGTAAATACTTTAGATTTCTTTTTTAAAAAATGTTATTTTTCTTTTATGTGTATGAGTGTTTTGCTTGCATGTATGTAAGTGCACCTATGTGTGCAATGCCCATGGAGGTCAGAAGGGGGCATCAGATCCTCTGGAACTGGAGTTATGGATGGTTTCTAGCCTTCATGTGGATACTACAAACTGAACCTGGGTCCTCCACAAGAGCAACCAGTGGTCTTAACCGCTGAACCAACTCTCCAGTCCCTTTTTAATTATCTTAAAAGCATATGGATTCCTTTCTTGCCATGACTGAAGCTTGGGCAGAGCTCTCCTTTAAAGATTAAAAGGCTTCTCAGTGGCTGGACATGGGGGGATGGCTCAGTAACAGCACTTGAGCAAGCATGAGGACCTGAGTTCAACTATAGGCCCTGCCTGTAACCCCAGCACTGTGGGAGATGGAGACAGGAGGATCACTGGGGCTTGGTGGCTCCTATCCTCACTACAGGCTCAGGGAGAGACCCTGTCTCAAGGTAATATGGTGGAAAGTGATTTAATACATAACCACACACATGCACATATCAAAAGGTAATAATAGCCAGGCATAGTGGCACACACCTTTAATCTCAGCACTGGAGAGGCTGAAGCAGACAGATCTCTGTGAGATTGAGGCCAGCCTGGTCTACACAGTGAGTTCCAGGGCACCCACAGCTACATAGTAAGACCCTGTCTCAACAACAAAGTTTTCTCCCAAAGCAAGGTGCATTTCTCTGAGACCCTCTGCTCTTCCCCCCCCC